TACGTACGATTCCTATGTAGACGGAACATTCACTATCTGTAAGCCTACCGTATGTATTCCACATGCGTCTTCTCTTACGATAGTCTAACAAAATAACATTTACAGTTCATACGCTCACGTTTAATTAGTGTCTGGATTGCAAACTTAAAGTCAGGCCCAATTTATGTCACATGAGAAAAATAACCATGATGATTAGTTTAACAGGTGATTTGATTGCCTGGTTGTCACCCAACTTGTCGCCGAGTTGAGCAAATTACACGAATTGTTGCCGACGAAGCGACGAAAAATCTCTAGCGACCGGGTAAGTAGACTGCCGTGGTGTAGTGTGCGCCAGGCTTAAGATATGTAAATTTACCAAGAAACCCACTGTATAAAGTTTTTACGATGACTATATGTTTTTGATTTGGTCAATGACGCAGGAGGGTTAAAGTGTTTATTTGTAGCATGATGGAGTTACACCAGCTTGCCACTAGTCTAATTAATGTATCTGTGTTTTACAGTTACGATTCAGGATTAATAGTGGTCATTAATTTGACTTTATAATAATGATACATAGACAATTCCCTTAATGCATATGCGAGACTGGTCTGGATTGCAAATACAATTTGGAGTTAATTATTTGTTCGGGTAAATGACAAATTATATACAAATCCAGCGACGTCAAATGTCTGGTACGCCACGAGAGAATTCTCCGACAACGATGCTGATTCGTAGCAAAATTGACTAACAGTGTCACAATTTCAATATTAATGCAGTGTTTAGCTTAAAGTGTTAATCTATATAGAGTCTGCAGACTGACCAAGTAATTAGTACCCAGATAATATATGGGTTCAGTGTCTAAGCATACATTCTAATTTATAGACCTTCCTGGTTTGTTATACGCCACAGATATCTATATAATCTATAGGTGCCGATTGAATGTGTGTGCTCTGTCTCCACAATTTGTATGTGAACAATTTGGATGCATCCAAGAACTAGTCTAGTGACTGATTATTGTCTATGCCAATACGGTTTACCATCCACCCATCCATTGAGTGAAATCGGCCCTCGAACGCACTCATTTGGCTGTAAGAGATTGGACGCCATATACGAGACACGGATTGTTTAGTATTTAAAGACCTCGTGATGCTACCTCATTTTTTATTAGATCACATCCTCATTATATAAAAAAAAACCTATGTATATGTGTCTACCGAATTACAAAAATAACACCCACAGTTTTATCTTTAATACAATTTACATTTTATTTTTTTTTTCGCTGCGTTCAATTTAATAATGAAATACCAGTCGATATTTGTGTAAGGTCATGTAAGTTAAGTACGTTGGGGATTTTATAAGCAGAACAATTTCCGGTGCGACTGTATCTGTACACGTTTCCGATCCTCTTTCTGTAAATAAATATTTTAATCTCATTAATTTTTGCTGTTTACTATTCCTTACTACAATACATAGAATACAATGTAATTATAATTTGATTACAAATATGTATTTTTATTTTATTTCAATAAACAGTACATGCCAAATATATTAACTCTCTTGTAATAACCGTACTCGAAAGTGACACATGATAATGCTTCCGCTTTGACATAATATGTCAATTAAGTACAAAAGTATGTTGTTCTACAATTTGCAGTGAACGAGTGTTGTCAGTTCAACCCGCTTTTTAACATGTTGCAAACATATAATTATTAACCAAATTTGGTATAATTATATGCTTATTTGCTATTTACCTTGCGGAACTGGAACAGGTCGATGACCACCATTGGTGACATCATATATAGACCTGAAAGAAGCCCCGATATCTACACTCAAACACACTTTGAATTGTTTCGTTTCATCTGAAGATCTAAAGTGGACACGTAAAGATCCTCGGGGATAACTCCACCAAATACTACCATTGGAACATGTTTTATTTGCAAACACATCCAGTACTGTAGCCTCCTCAGTAGATCTATAATAAACAAAATTCAGATTTCAGTACTAAATCGCAATTTAGAACACTGAGAAAATAAAAAAAAAAATGAAAATGGAATGAAATGAGGTTTAACGTCCTACTGTTCTGCTCCAACTGCACTAATGAAGACAGGCATACGACAAACAGTGTGCTACACGGGAAATCGTGCCCGGGTAGCTGCACTATGGCCTACAGTTATATCGAATTCCAACTGCCAAGGGATCTTTTACCCGCACACCAATGTGTACACGGGAACTCGGTATTCGTCCCATTCGAATTGCCGAACTACTATAAGTTGTTCCTTGCCAGGCCCTCTGTCCTGCACCACTGACGGTGGGGGGGGGGGGCATGCCGGAAAATCCCGATGAACTTTCGTGGCCAACGTCGCAATCGAACACATGACCCACAGGTTAGCGAGTCCGCGTCTTAATCACTGAGCCACTATGGCTCACTGAATAATTAACACCAAACCTTTAAAGATAGAAAATTTCACGACTTGTATTAAATTAAACCCGTTCAGTGCAGATAATTGGGACCTTAATAACCATTTCATTGGATGTCATTTATTAAATCTGGAAAAACAAATTTACTCAAAACATAAACGTGGCATTCGGTTGTTTGCAGAATGAAACGAAATGTTCAATTCATCACATCTTGGAAAATACCAAACGGAATGATACCATGTGTGCTAGATGACACATATATAATATACTTACCCTCTTGGCAAAATAGTGCATGGGTCATAAAATACAGACTGGCTGGTGACTATTCCTAGAAGACACAAAAATACCGCACACAAAAATACAGCAAGATCGATTGTTGTTCCTTTCCCCATTTTGGCCTTTCCCTTTTCTTGAACTGTGTCTGAATTAAGATTATTTTAATCTTAACGAAATCAATTTAAACAGTTGATAAGGACAGGAAGAGGAATTGGGTGATAAGAAACCCAATATAGTGTGGGAGCTAGGTCAAGTTTCAACTTAAACTTGCGTCAACTCGTTAGAGAAGGACTCGATATTTGGCAGAAGAGAATGACTACAGGAACAGCAGCGAAGACGTTAATGGACGCAATCCAAATAAACTATATCACCCGAATACACGACAAAGATGCTGTCAGCGATCTTTGGCTAAACGTATCAGTTACAAAAGCTGATCCCAGTGCCTGTTCAAGTGAATAGGTGCACATCTACCGAGTAAACGACTTATAAGTTTTGCTTATTTAAAATAATGTTCTGAAGACTATGCAATTATAATAAAATTCCTTAATTTTGGTCTATAGGGCTTGGATGGCCGAATGGTTAGCGCGTGCGCGTTGTATAATAAGGTCTGTCATTGAGTCAACTGGCGTGGTTTTGATTCCCCCTGTTGTACGTGCCAAGGAGTATGGTCGCCTGTCCAACCTCGTGGGTTTTCTCCGGGTCCCCCAGTCCCCCCCCCCCTGCTAAAGACCCCTACGCGCAATCCAAATAAACTATATCACCCGAATACACGACAAAGATGCTGTCAGCGATCTTTGGCTAAACGTATCAGTTACAAAAGCTGATCCCAGTGCCTGTTCAAGTGAATAGGTGCACATCTACCGAGTAAACGACTTATAAGTTTTGCTTATTTAAAATAATGTTCTGAAGACTATGCAATTATAATAAAATTCCTTAATTTTGGTCTATAGGGCTTGGATGGCCGAATGGTTAGCGCGTGCGCGTTGTATAATAAGGTCTGTCATTGAGTCAACTGGCGTGGTTTTGATTCCCCCTGTTGTACGTGCCAAGGAGTATGGTCGCCTGTCCAACCTCGTGGGTTTTCTCCGGGTCCCCCAGTCCCCCCCCCCCTGCTAAAGACCCCTACGCGCAAGCCAATTATTGAATAAAATCGAACCATATGTTAGTCCCGAAATTACCTAGTTTTTGTCGAGTGGACGTTAAACTTAGTACAATCATGCCATTGGACCGTGTCTTATCTGACAACCCCGTACCTCTAGATTTCGCTAGTGAGGTAGTTCTGAATCCTTTTTTATAAAAATAGGTGATCACGACAATGGTTGATTAAACGTGATCCGTGCGGGGTGGTACTTGTGCCTTTTTAAGTATGGATGCTGGTAGTTACCACTTCTTAAGAATTAAAACTGCTTTCTAGTATGTCTGATGATTCCGTCCACCAAGAATAAAATGTTTACTGTGTATTTCGATGAAAATCGAACTTCTAGCTAAATCGGTGATGCCTTCGATGAAAGTCGAACGTCTAGCTAAATCGGTGATGCCTTACAGTTAATCCACAGGACTATAAAACTTAAGAAATTCCTATTTTGGGATAATTTACAAATAACCAACCAACAGGCTACACCCAAAATTAGGTTACGCAAGTTTGAGATGAAACTTGACCTAGTTTCCACACTTTAGTAGGTTACGTTTATTGCCGTTGGCGTTGTGTGACTGTTTTTAAAGATAAATTATGCAAGTGGTAAATCTTCCTATTGTATGTCTTCCTTTGGGCCTTTAATGTTATATAAAACTATTTATTTGTTATTTATTAACTTGCCAAGACCATTATCAACTCTCGATGCCATCAAATGCTCAATATTTTCAACGGATTTAAACACGATGTGCGGTTAATGGTTTAATTTAAAACTGTAAACTTGGATAATCGGGACTTTGGTTACTATCGTAACCGCTAATTTTTAAACAGCCATAACGTCGCTCAGAATGAAATAATTTGACGACATTTTTAAGACACCCCCTTTTCTATATCTAGTTTTTAACTATTATAGCGAGAATTGTCAGCTGTTTAACTAAATTTTACGTTATGCATTTTAACGTTATCACCCCTTGGTAGTAGCGAGATTTATTGTGCAAATCTTGTGGACTTCCTAAATCGGAAATTGTCACAATATAGTTTCCATGGAAGAGTAATCATACTACTTTGCATTTGAAGTGTCACATACTCAGTATGTAAAACAACGCATCTGTCTCCTGAATTACAAACATAATGGGTCACCCACAGTTTCATTTTAACTTTTTATTTTCGTTTCATGCTATTCAATAATGAAATACCAGTCGATATTTGTGTAAGGTCATGTAAGTTAAGAAAGTTGGGGATTTTATAAGCAGAATGATTTCTGGAGCGACTGTATCTGTACACGTTTCTACTTCTCTTTCTGTAAGTAAAAAAGATTAATTTAGTTAATGCTTAATTGTGATTTTCTATTCTTTAGAACTATACTTAGTCTTTAGATATCCAGTTTAATTATGATTTGACAGAACTCCCAGTATTAATAAAACAAGCCAACAAGCCAAAGTATCGAGCAATCAATCTATACACTAAGTTTCATCACTCTCTATCAGATAGAATCAAGATATCTTGTCAGAAAATTCTGACCATCGAATTTAGTCATGGTAATGATATAATGAATCTATATTCCGAGTTTCATCGCTCTCACTTCATTATAACAAAGCATCAACCAATCAGATTGGTTATCTCTGCTTACCCTAAGCAGAAAATGCTCATCTTCGAACTCCATCAAGGCATTGATCCAAGGCTTTCTTCGAAAGGCGGGGGACAATAAAATGATTACAATATCAATGATTAAAGGAACAGTAAAGGACAACAGATAAAAAACTATTGTTAATCATCCTATCTCGTTCGGAACCTCGTATATTTATTTATCTATCGGGGTCTGCAATTCTAAAGCCAGTCGCACTGCTGTTTCGTCATATTGTCAGTACTAATTATTTTTAGAGTTTGAACAACATTTTTGAGATACTGAAATATTGTACAATTAAATTTTTACTTACCTTGTGAAACTTGTAAAGGTCTATGACCACCATTTGTGATGTCAAATACAGATCTAAAAGAAATCCCGACATCTTCACTCAAACAAACTTTGAATTGTTTTGTTTCATCTGAAGATCTAAAGTGAACACGTAAAGATCCTCGGGGATAATTCCACCAGAGACTACCATTGGTACAGGCATCGTTTGCAAACACATCCAGTACTGTATCCTCCCCAGCAGATCTATAATAAAAAAAATGTTTAAACCCAATTTAAATGCTAATGTCGGACAATTTCTAACTTTTCTGACCCAAATCCGAGTTTAAATGAGAGAAATGGGATTTAACTTCCACTCGACAAAAACTAGGCCATTTCGGGACTAACATAATGGTTATTTAATACATATTTTTTTATTCTCAAAATAGTTAAATGGAATCAAAATCCTTTCAATGACCATCTTGATCATGTAATATAATTAAAAAATGTTAACATGTATCCTAGAATGAAAGAATATGTATGGCTCGTGTCCAACACCTATCAATAATCACGGCTTCGTTAAACAAAAACAAAAAAGGGGAGGGGGTGCACTTTCGATCATAAGGTATTTGATTGAGTGAAGTGTTTCGGTATGAAGGCCAAGCTTGTACTGGTATTCGGGTTTTATCCTATTTATACGCACAAACGAATTGCTGAATAATACATGTACCATATGTTAGTCCCGAAATGACCTAGTCTGTGTCAACTGGGCGTTAAACCACATTCCTACAACAGAGTCTGATATGTCCATACCGCTGTTCATAAACGAAAACGACCCTGTAGCTCGGGGTCAGCGTGATTTTGTTTGTGAAATTATATATATCATTTTGTATTGAAAGTATCGCGTCCAATGTTTGGCCCCACCCAGCTTTAGTCCAAAACGAAATTAAATTTAGTATCATGGTTTTTCATTGCTAAATCAAATTAAACTGAAATCAATGTGTACTTACCCTCTTGGCATAATAGTACACGGGTCATTAAATGGAGACTGGCTGGTGACTATTGTGAGAGAACACAAAAATAGAGCAAAACCGATTATTGATCCTTTCCCCATATTGTCTTTAAATGTAATTGTGCCTTTCCTTTGTTGAACTATTTCTGAATTACAACTATCTTAACAATATCATAATGATAAGAATCAAATGTAAATGATAAGAAAATCAGTAGGTTACCACTACGCCAACGAAAGAATTTTACTCCCTTCATATTAAGCTCCTTTTTTGGCCATTATGTATATCTGAGCACGTCTTCATTAGCCCAATCGGAGCAGAACAGCAAGGCGTTAAGCCCCACTTCAATTAATTTCTATGTCCGGGCGTTAACAATTAAAGCACAAAACATGTGGAATATGCATAAACACATTTTTGAATGGTATTTCAAATAGAAATGACTTTAAATGGGATTTGACATTCCTACATCAACGGAGCTCATGTAGACGGCACCTCCTATAGATATTGACCAAAGGCTGAAAAATTGTAAAAACATAAATCAGTTTTTATACAACATAGAGTTATTATAAATGAGCTTACAATTGGTAAGAAAATGAGTAGGTATAGAGATTTATGCCCGCTGTCCGCGTACGCTGCTAATGTAATGGGACCGTTTCCATGTAAGCAGTTGTTTTGCAGTGAAGTGTGCGCACACGGATGATTACGTTCTGGCGCACAAACACAGGTTTGCTTCCACTACATCAACCAACAGCTCCTGTTTCTGCAAATTAAGCTTGCAAATGGCACATTATTTTGGACATGGCCGTTCTATAAAAGGCGTCGATTGAACGTTAACAAAGTTTTCTTTTTTTTCATTTATGGAGGAACCGCGCTGGTTCACTAAATATGAGGTCACAGACTTGATCCCGGTATTGCCAGAGCAATGTTCTCTGGTTTGTCCATCATGAATCCCCCTTGCCATTGGTCCCGGAAAGGTGGCTGTGAAGGAAAAGGTCATTTGTGTATACCATTTAAAGATTGTTAAACAAGATTTCTAATATTGGTGGATTGTCCCTTACCCTGGTGCCCTCGACCTCAGGCATGTTACCTTAATTGAATCCTCTAAATGCACGTGCCGTGAAGAATAAACCTATCTTACATATTGATTTCAATTCAGTATAAATCTCTTAGAAAATATATTATTAAGCATATTTTAATTCTTATATAACAGACGATATGAAGCGAAACTGTTAATTAAAATCATGTGAGCTTGATAACGACCAAAGAAACGTGTAGAAACCATTGATTGTTTTCCATATCAATTGTGTTGTGTTTTATTTTTTTTTAATTAGAAACACAGACGCAACTAGAATCCACGAATATTTACACAACTATGTGGCTATATTTTAACATTAGGTTTCCTGACAGTTGAAATCCGGTGAAGAGGAGGCGCGGGGGTAGAGGGGCGACGCTTCCCGAGCACAATCCTTCTCCGTCAGGCTGAAAATGACCGAAATGTTATGCTGCGATTCATTAAAACCTAATCTTATTTTGTTGCCATTCGTTAAAAAAAAACATTCATAAAAATCCATTATACCCTTTACCGCACATTTAAAGGGGAATTTTGAGATTTTTTATAGGGGCATTAAAATATAGATAAAGGTTAAGATTGTTTGTTTTTTAACAGGCCATATTAAAGGTACATTGTCCAAGGGCTTCAGTCATTTAATGATTTAATTTTAAGAAAGAGAAGTGAGGCTAAATCTTGGTTAACCAGTACCGTGGTGAGGATAATAAGCGATCAGAAGCAATCAATGCCACATAATGTCAAAACCCCAAACAGTGATAACTTCGTTCAGAATAAAGTAATTTGAATGAAATGTTCGATATATCTATTTTGCAGTATCTATTTTTGAATTATTATAACAAGAACGATTAAGAAGAAATGAAGACACTTGTATTCCCATAATACTTACAATCGGGTAGATGTTGGACAGCTCTTCCTCATGGAAAATCAACGGCCAGCACACCCAGTCTCCGAAATAAAGGTTCATGTATGTATGGAAAGGGGTTCAATGATGTTCTGTACCATTCGAAGGACAGTCAAGTATGGCGATAGGCGAGATATTACTTTTCTAATGAAATGAAGTGTCGAGGGGACGACACTGAGACGTATTCATAGTTATTACTTAGTTATGTTCACTTCTGCCACACTTCGACTTAAAGCAGCGGCTGCCAGGCAGGATACGCCCACATTTTGCAAGAGACGGATAGAGAACAAGCTAAAAACAAACATGATTTTTTGTACAATCAGGGGCAATAATCCAGAAAGTTATGGTCTGAAATGCCCAAATATCAAAAGGGACTGAGATCTTTGGGATATAAAGATATGTTTTAAGTTTCATCAAAATCGGATAAAAATTGTGACCTCTAGAGGGTCCACAACCTTTGAAGCATACTTTTACACAATTTGCGTACAAAGTGCGGCCATTTTTTCCGGCAGTTTCATTTCGATTTTCCCGAAATTCGAATTCAACCTTCATTATGGTGGAATGGTGATATATTTAAACGGTTTTTAAAATCGGAAAAAAGAATTGTGACCTCTAGAGAATCTGCATGCTAAAAATGTGATTTTTCGCACAATCAGGAGCCATAATCCAGGAAGTTACGGTGTAACGGTGATATATTCGAACGTTTTTTAAACCGAATAATAATTGTGACCTCTTGAGGGACCACAAGCTAAAAACGCGATATTTTGTACATTTAAGGGCCATAATTCAGGAAGTTACGATTCGATATGCACGAAAATAGAAAGGATCCAAGATATTTGGGTTATAAACATGCATTTCAAATTTCATCAAAATCAGATGAAAATTGTAACCTCCAGAGGATCCACAACCCTGATACACAATATTTTGACACAATTTGCGAACGAGGGGCGGTCATTTTGTCCGTTAGTTTCGGTTCGATTTTTACGAAATTCGAACTCAACCATTCTTAGGGTGTAACGGTGATATATTCAAACGGTTTTTAAAATCGGATAAAAATTGTGACCTCTATGGGGTCCACAAGCTAAAAACGCGATTTTTCGTACAATCAGGGGCCATAATTCAGGAAGTTATGGTCCGATACATGCCAATATCGATAGGAACCGAGATCTTTGCGTGATAAACCTACATTTCAAGTTTCATTGAAATCGGATAAAAATTGTGACCTGTAGATTGTTCACAAACAATTATTTTTTTACCATTTTCAAAATATTACATTAGAATTGATACAATTACAAAAAAGATAGTAAAAGAACTAGATAGAAGCTTTTAATTTGTTTGTCATTCGACTACAGCCCCATTCTCTTGTAGTATTCACATTCCATTGGTTTTGACATCATATTCAACCTACGGGTAACACGTGGAAATACGCCCACTCATCAGCTATGTCGCACATGCTTTTTCGAACACATAATGTTCTAGATTGTTGAATAACAACAGGGTTCATCGTTTCCGATCCAAATTCGTCACATGAGATGAATAGGGTTAATCTTCTAAAAGTCATATCACTGTGGTCTTGTTGCTATCACCTGAACTGATTCTAGAAACGGAAATCGATAGGATTCATCCTCTCATGACCCCGATGCTTCACACCAATTTGAAAAAAAACCCTGGAGATCCCATGGAAACATTGGCGTGCACGTATTAGTTCCCTCGACAATAGCGCCTCCGGCCTAGTAAAATTTCATAAACCCAGTCGGATCAGAAATCAGGACGTTAAACCCAATTTAAGGGAAATTGGAGGCACAGCACACAGATAGATATGGGTGACGACATAATACGCCCACACAGACATGTTGGAACAAAACAAAACGACAAAAAGACTATTTTTTCATTTGTTATCAATCAAGCTAGTCGGCAAATGCCCCCCTTCATCTTAGCACTTACGAGAAGTAGAAACATTATTATGAGATGCAGCTTTTGATCTGTATTGAAATTGGAATCAAACGTGCTCAGTTTAAGAGAGAGACTCGGTTATACTTTTTTCCAGTATTTTTAGAGTAGACAGAGTAGCAGTTGATGGAAACGAGGGGGGGGGGGAACTACTATGGTTGGGCAGGCGTTCCTACTCCTTGTTACTTACAAACACAATGACAGAGTTTAATATCTAAAGCGTACATGTAAGACCCATCAACCAGCCAATTAAACATACATTATGCAAGAGCTAAATCTGCCTATTATAGGTATTTCTTTAGGCATGAAATGTTATCTAAATTATTAACTAGACATTAATTAACTTATCCAGATCATATTCAACTCTCGATTTCATCGCTAGCCTGCGATATTTACTCAACGCTCATTGGTGATTAAATCAAAAAATGGATAATCGAGCCTATGTTTTTTTATTATATCAATTTTAGTAATGATAATCGAGCCTATGTTTTTTTTATTATATCAACTTTAGTAATGATGATCGCGGCTAGGCCTAAAATTCAATCGCTAAATTCTCGGTTCACAGAGAGCGAGAGAGAGAGAGAGAGAGAGAGAGAGAGAGAGATGAGGTTTAACGTCCACTCGACACAAACTAGGTCATTTCGGGAGTAACACACGGTTCATTTTTCTATTTCAATAATTCGCTTGTGCGTAGGGTTCTTTAGCAGTAAGAGGAAACCGGAGGACCCGGAGAAAACCCCTACTCCTTGTCACGTACAATCGGGGAATCGAAACCCCACCAGTTGACACAATGACTGACCGTATGATACAGCGCGCGCGTGCTTACCATTCGGCCATTCAACAACAACCCCCCCCCCCCCCCCGTTCACAGAGGATCCATTTGACTGAAATTTTCAGCAAATTCCATTTAGATTGCCTAGTTTTAACTATTATAGTGAGAACTGCCAGCTCCTTATCTAATCTCCAACAATGTATCTTTAACTACAGCGATAATTTATAACCTAACATTACACCTTAATATTCTTCAAAACATTGCCAGCCAACGAAACACGAGAAGTTAAAGTGTCATCCAAGCATTTATAGAGGTAAACAATTCTTAAAAAGTTCAAAGAGATCGGACCACTAAGTTTTGTAACAAATGACAACTATCCAACTGAAGTTTTTACGGTGCAAAAACCAACGAGCATTAATCTGGAGATGATTATCAAAAATGTTGAAAATCAATCACAACTCATTATCAAGTATAAAACGATATAGACTTTATAACAATTCGGCCGAACAATGGAAGTTGTTTTTGAAAATCAGTTAATTAGTCATATATATTTCATGGTACAATCACCAACGATTCATTTTAACAGAAAACTTTTTTTTTATATTCAGTTAAAACAAATAATCAATACTTCCATACTCTTTGTTAACACCCGAACCTTGCTACAGTCTTTAATATATCAATAGAATACTTATTAGAAGATAGCATGATTATAATTTCTACGAAGACATGTAGTGGACATAAGCATATAATAATTATATTATAAACCAAACGAGCGAGAGAGAGAGAGAGAGAGGGAGAGAGAGAGAGTTTACCTTCCACTCGGCACAAACTAGGTAATTTCGGAACTGGCATATGGTTCAACCTTATTTCAATAATTCTCTTGAAGGTAGGGGGTCCTTAGCAGTGGGGGCGGGGGGCGGGGGGGGGGGGGGTACGGGACACAGAGAAAACGCCAGTTGACTCAATGACAGACCTTATGATACAACGCGCACGCGCTAAACATTCGGCCATCCACCCACCCTCCCCTAAACAAAAGGAGATTCAATATCATATTAAACTGCACCAGCTAGCAAACGAAGCGGTACTACGGTCTATTATTATATCGAATACCAATTACCAAAGGATCTTTTACGTGCACGCAAATGTGTACACGGGACCTCGGGTTTTCTTCCCATCCGAGCGTTGTACCTCCTGATGGGCCAATGACGAGTGGGAATCAGACTATAGTAATTGGTTAATGAGCACCCCCCCCCCATCCCCCACGATACCTTCTGAACCACTGGGGCATTTTAGCGCGACAAACAGTGGGCTGTCCTATCAACCATGTATGCATAATTTCCGACATAAACCATTTTAAACTGTACTACAGTACTACATAAACCAATTTAAACACTATAGTACACTTAAAACACCGTTAACTGCAATGCATAAATCATCTTAAACATTAGAATAAACGTAAAACTTCGTAAACTGGTCAACATAAACCATTGTAAAACCTTTTTATTCACTTAAAACAGCGTCAACGGCGCCCAAATAAGCTATTTTAACCATTATAGTAACCTTAAAACACCGTTAACAGCCCTACATAAATCATTATAAACATTAGCGTAAGCTTAAAATTACGTAAAATTTGAATGTCCTGCATATGAAATACTTTAAACATTTTAAACATTATAGTACACTTAAGATGCCACGTAAAATTTTCTTACAAAAGTCAACAAGCGTTTGCCATTCAAGATACGCCCAAATTGTGCAAGAGATAGACAGAGAACATTGAGAACTAGCCAAAAAAACACAATTTTTCATACAATAAGGAAGTTTCAGTACGATATCCGCAAATATGGAAAGGAACCAAGTCTTTGGGATACACACATATGTTTTAAGTTCCATCAAATAGATCAACGTTATGACCTCTAGAGTGTCTACGAGCAAAAAACATGATTTGTAAAGTGTCCACAAACAAAATATGAATGAACAGACGGACGGACAGGGGCGACGACAATATACGTCCACATTAAAGGCACTAAATCGCTCATATCTAGGACCTAGAAATTGACACAAATGGGTCACAATATGAATGTATATAAACTGATTTGCATTCAATCCTTTCTGTTTTTCCTCTAATTTCAAATCAGTTATGTTCGGCGAAATACACGAGAAGTCACAACCGAATGGTAATCGTTAGCATCTGGTTATACCAGTCTATACCGGTAGAATTTATCGCTCATGCTCTCCAGATAAGAATATACTGCGTCGCCGTTTGACATGGCTTGTGGAAAATGTCTAGCCTCAATCTTCGAGTCCCGTGTTACAAATGGCGCTGAAATGCATTCTGGTACAGGATTCGTGTACCAATGGTAAAATGTTTAATTTGTCTTAAATATTGGACATTAGAAGTCCATCTTTTCCCGGTAAGATCACAACATCAATGTTGATTTAAATTGACAAATAATTTGAGTTTTCAATGTCGAAGACTGTGGATGATTGTGAGTTAAAAATACCTTCCCACGTACAAACTGGGTGATTTGATGATATATTTGGACTAAAAACATATTCAAGGGAATACCCTTGTTATAAAAAATCTATAAACGAAGTCATGTTTGTGTCATGTGAATTGGCTGACACGGTACCTAGCAATGGGTGCAAAGCCTGAGGAGAATTCATTGCATATACAAGACGATGTTGTCTTAAATCGCTGTCCCTTTATCATAAATGTCGAAGCCTAACTATATTCTCGGATTATCCACTGCCCACATATCTTTGCTTGGTGTTTATCTCAGAAACTGTTGTACGTTTAAGCTCACCATCATATACAACGCTGGGAGATCAGACAATCTTCGCGAGCAGACATCCCTAATCGCCGGGTTGTCGGTTACGGAAAGCCTTACAGTTTTGTCATGAATGCGTTACATGGGTGTTTTTCATGGAATCAAGTATTTTTCTAGTAAGACTGGAAGTTTCCACTTTCCATACGTACCAATAATTTTATTGGAAATAACCACCAAATAAATACTTTTGTGGGAAAATATCTTTAAAAACATAGCAAGGCGTATAAAATCATACAACCAATGGTTGCCAGGCAAAATACGCCCACAATTTTGTAAGAGATGGATAGAGAACAAGCTAAAAACAAAAGCGATTTTTCGTACAATTAGGGTCCATAATCCAGAAAGATATGGTCTGAAATGCGCAAATATCGAAAGGGACTGAGATCTATGGATATAAAGCTATATTTTAAGTTTCATTAAAATCGGATAAAAATTGTGACCTGTAGAGGGTACACAACCATCGTATAACATACTGTTACACAATTTGCATACAAAGAGCGGCCATTTTTTCGGGCAGTTTCGTTTCGATTTTTCCGAAATTCGAATTCAACCTTCATTATGGTAGAATGGTGATATATTTGAACGGTTTTTTAAAATCGGATAAAAAGCAGAATACGCCCACATTTTGCAAGAGATGGATAGAGAACAAGCTAAACAAAAAGCAATTTTTCGTACAATCAAGGGCCATAATTCAATAAGTTTAATCAAAATTGGATCAAAATTGTGGCCTCTAGAGGTTCCACAACCTTGATCTCCCATATATTTAAACTATTTGCGTACAAGAGGTGGTCATTTTGTCCAACAGTTTTAGTCCGATTTTCACGAGATTCGAACTCAAGCATCATTACAGTGTAACGGTAATATATTCAAACGGTTTTTTTTAATTGTGAACTCTAGAGGGACCACAAGCTAAAAATGTGATTTTTCGTAGAATCAGGGGCCATAATTCAGGAAGTTACGATCAGATACGCGCAAATGTCAAAAGGAACCAAGATCTCCTTCTGACCTCTAGAGTGTCCACAAACTAAAAACGTGAGTTTTCGTACAATAATCCATGAAGTTACGGTCCAATAAATTCCATCCGAGATCTTTGCGAGATACACCTATATTTCAAGTTTCGTCAAAATCGGATAAAAATTGTGACCTGTAGAGTATTCACGAACAAATTGTGAACGGACAAAATGTGGGCGTATAAAAATCGGAAATCGTGAGGCATAATGACTAAATCTAAACCTGGTTTGGTATTGATATGTACAATAATGTCTAAATCTAGACCTGGTTTGGTATTGATATGTAGAATAATGTCTAAATCTAGGCCAGGTTTGGTATTGATAGATAGAATAATGGAAATGGCCATGTGCTTGATTGATCAATCGTAAAATAGAATTTTACTCCATTCTGCTTCCGTACCTTAACGATCAGCTTATATGGGCTTAAAACTGATCATAGAATATTTTCATTTGCTGTTGATTGGTGAGTGGTTGACAATGTTGTTCCGTTATTCAATAATCGTTTATATTTATGTGTTTGGTACTTGTACCGCTGAATCTCAGGGTCAATGCAAGCGCACGGAATGGTTTAAACCACAAACATGTACGGCAAAAACTTTACCAAAAGGTGATGCTTTTAATGAATTTAGTGTAGATCACAAATTAAAATGTATGAAGGCTTGTAAGCAAACAACGGGTAATTGTTTGTCCATGTCTTATGATAGAAGAAACAAAAAATGCTATCACTTTGATGATATCGGTGATAGTTGTACTGATATGGTGGAGGAACCCGATACACAATATTACTACAAGGTAAGAATTTAATATACGAACAATTTTTAAAAAAAAAAAGTATTATTACTATAACGTAAAGTTTTAAATATGCAAATGCTCATTATTATAAATTATCATAAATTAAAGTTTTAATGTACACAGAATATTGTAGCGTGAAGTTAAACACTTTAATATTACTACAAGGTAAGAATTTAATATACGAACAATTTTTTTTAAAAAAAAGTATTATTACTATAACGTAAAGTTTTTAATATGCAAATGCTTATTATTATAAATTATCATAAATTAAAGTTTTAATGTACACAGAATAATATTGTAGCGTGAAGTTAAACACAGTATTATTATAAATATTTAAGATGAGGGCAATCACCACCTCCTATTTTATATCAAAATTTGGCTCTTCCCACCTAAGACGGAGAATGACCCGATACACTAGAAATTTCCTCTATTCTGATTGGTCGCGAATTACCGCCTATAAATATTACTGTGTACTTTTTTTCATTTTTGTGCTCAATGATCTTCTTTAACTCAAATCTTTATTTGCAAATATCTTCAAGAAATTCTGCACACACCGTCGCGTCTCGTGTTATAATGATTCAAGTATAGTTAAACGGACATTAAAGCCCCTCTAAATACGAAACAGGAAGTGTTTAAGTAAATTTGTATTATCCGGGTTTAAGAACACCTCCGCTACATCACCGGGCAGAGCACGCCAAGGCTGCAGTTTGAGATTTGATTTAAATTTAGTACACATGTGGAGGTATATTGCCATAACATATAGAAATAAAATATCAGGTCATTCTCCGTCTTAGGTGGGAAGAGCCAAATTTTGATATAAAATAGGGGGTGGTGATTGCCTTCCTCTTAAATATTCATCAGTTTTAACTTAATTGCCCAGATCAGACCCACCTACTGACTAGATACCAAGGTGACTTTCTCTTGCCTATGAAATGAAATAGTTTTTAAGATCCCATTTCTCTATTATGGGGGTAAGTCTGCCCCGGCAACGATGCCGCAATATTATCATTTCGAATTTTAACTGTCAAGCGTTCGTTTAAGTGCACGTCAATGTATACACGGGACCTCGGGTTTTCGTAAAATCCGAACGACTATACATTGTATCTTGCCATGCCCTACTTTCTACACCACGGACAAGGGGGAACAACTTAGGAAAATCCAGATGAACTTTCACGGCCAAGACCGGGTTCAAAGAAGTATCTCCAGGTTAGCGAGCCAACGCCTTATACTCGCTGAGCCACCGTGCCCCCCCCCCCCGCTTATGACTTGTATGTAAATATTTAGTATATATTATTTAATATTTGCCATTTTCTCTGACATTGATGTTTCATTTATATTTCAATAACCTGTAATCCTGGTGCGTGTATATTATTCAATGAAGGCTTATATTATATACAAAAAGTTTCATTTTATGTTTGTTTTGTTCTTGTAATTTGGAAAGGGGTCTTTATCAATTTAAAACTTCTGTAATAGTGCATATTTCTTTGGTTATTTGCGCCACAAATCACTTTTAATATGATTTTAAACCCTGTAAATATGTTGTAAAATTTCCATTATATTCCATTTGTTTTATAGCGCTATTCAGTTTTTGAAAGTATTTCAGTTTAGTGCATAATTAATCTTAGTAATGCTTGGTTTGGTTGTTATTAAATTTAGATATATTTAAATTTATCTTTTTGGGGGTTGGGGATAGGAATATTGTGTACATATCTATTAATTCTCGGTGCTTGTTTTGGTAGTATGAATTTGATTTGATTTTTCCTATCAATTAATGAATGAATAATAATTTAACATAGAAATATATTGTTATGTCCTTTATCAAACATTACAGTTTAAACAGAACAAAAGAAGGGGTGCTGCATGGGAAAGGTTGCTATACTGGATATAAATTGTTGGTTTTACACGACCGTTTGTGTTAACAATATAACACAGATTTATATGAAATAACACAGGTTTCTAAAATTTCATCACAAGTTGCACACTTTTTTAAAAAAAAGTTTCATAAACTATAACACAAGTGATGCGTAGATTTTCCCACAAGTTTCAACACAAGCTTGTGTTATTTTGGTAAACGTCAACACAAGTTTGTGTTGTGTCAACACAAATTTGTGTTGTTAAATAGGAACATCTAATTTGTGTTGAAAATAACACAAGTTTGTATTATTTCAACACAAGCTATTTTTTAACAGTGTACATATATGCCGCGATCGTGAGGATTTTCCTCTAAAAAAGCCAAACACCAACAGATTTTCTTATTCTTCGATGACTTCTTTTCCTCCAGTGACATGCTTTCGGACAATTGTCTTTTAACAAACATTTTTGCACTTTTAATTTAAACCGCTAAACTGCGTCGTCATGCTAGAGTTGGGAGGACCAGAGCTGTGAGCCTATGTGTGTGTCTTGAGGCCAAGTTAGGTGGTTATTTATGTATTCTTGCCACAGCTCCGAGCTATCTCCAGAATCTAATTCAAATAAAATCCCATCAAAGAACAACTTGATATTCCAAGAAAAAATCTCGTATCGTGTGGCGATAGGGCTTTCTCTTTTGTACCACCAGTCCTTTGGAACAAGCTACCCCAATTCCCCAAAGAAGAAGGAACTATTGCAGAATTCAGTAAGAGACTCAAGACTCATCTCTTTACATGTACTTTACTGGATAAGAGGCGCTATATAAATGCATTATTATTATTATTATTACTTCTTCGTGTTGCCGGTGGGTTATATGTATGTCTTCGTGTTAAAGTTAGGAGGTTATATATACGTCTTCGTGTTAGAGTTAATAATAGACAGTGTAAACAAAGGATGAATTGGTGTAATTGGTTTATTTTTTATCCCATTTCTAAAGACCACTGCTTACGAGCGAACTATTAAAATAAAAATGTACCATATGTTATTCAGGTAACGGCCCTTTTTCCTTGAAAATTGAAAACTGTAAAAAAATTATTCACAATGTTAAAGATACATTAGTTAAGATTTAATGAAGAGCTGAACACTCTTGATGTAACAGTTCAAAAATAGACGAAAAAAAGAAAATATTGAAAATTTCAGTCAAATTACTTTATTCTGAACGACATTACCACTGTTAGAAGTTTGGACTAGAAATAGGCATCAACTGTCTCCGCACCGTCTCCGTGAATTGCCGATCGTTTGATTGACAGGCGATAACTCCGCTCATACGTATTCTCGATTATCAAGTAACATTCTCAATGCCCACGTCGTCCTTTCATCGGCAGTCTCCGGTAGTGACGCCGGTGATTAACGGTAAATGTTAGCTTGGGCAGCCATTTAATGATTTAATTATAAAATGGACGACTGTTTAAATCCAAGCTGTATCCGAGCCACCCGAGGTTCTACAGGGTTGATTCTGGATTGTTATGTAAATAAATGTCCAAATAATAATTGCTATAACATTTGAATCCTATAGAAAAACTTACAATAGGCATATTTAGCTCTTAACTAATGCATCTTTAAATTTAATTACAGGATATAGAATGTTTAAATGGTGGAACCAAGACGTCGTCAACCCAATGTAACTGCCCTGTCGGTTTTATAGGTCGGAATTGTAACAGATTGGTATCAGGTCCGTTCTATACAGTCTTTTTTTTTTAACAAACATTGTTTTCCATTTTATTTTAAACCGCGTTATTGTCTTAACGTGCGTCTTCATGCCAGAACTAGAAGGTCATAGATATGAGGCTTTATGTGTACGTCTTCATGCTACATGTAGAACTAGAAGGTCAGAGCTATGGGCTTTTATGTGTACGTTTTCATGCTAGAACTAGGAGGCTGAGTCATGAGGGTGTTATGGGTATGTTTTCATGCTAGAAGATCAGAGCTACGATGGTTTTATGGACGCGTCTTCATGCTAGTACTAAGATGTCAGAGCTATGAAGGTTTTATGTAATCCAATTAAAATTACTGGGTATACCAACGTTTGGTTAGTTTACTCCATTTAGAAATAACGCGGTTCACTAAATACCAATGCACAAATTGTGATTGGTCAATCCAAGATGAACTACTCAATGAAAACCCGAGATACAGTAAATTAAATTTAATCACTGAAATATTTTGATTGGCTTACTACAACGGAGGTGAAGTGTACTATTACAGTTTTCTCAACTTAAGAGGAGAGGGGGGAACAATTTGATTGACCTGTTTCATGGTCGTATCAATATCTTTCCTTTTCATTTTAGGTTGCCAAGAGTTATATGAAAGTGGGGTACATGGTCTCAACAAAGTCCTGATTCAACCGAAACCAAATGGGTCACCTATACCATTGTATTGTGTTAACAGAGATCACGTCATCATGAGGCACGACAGAGACTATCCATTCAGTTTGAACAGAACATGGGATGAATACGTTAACGGATTCATGTTAGATGAAAATCGTGTTTGGATTGGACTTGAGGCCTTGCACCAAATCACCAAATATATCCCTCATCAGGTTTTGGTAATCCAGGTCGATGCTGATAGTCGATTCTATTTCTATGCGGAGTACACAGATTTCAATGTTGGAGACCGATCAACACATTACAGAATTACATATTCCTCATATATCCCCCGTTTTTTAAATATTCTTAACGACACTTTAAATGGCTTAAATGGATCATCTTTCAGTACTTATGACCGAGATTACGACGGTGATGCCAAAAGAAACTGTGCTCTCCAATATGCTGGAGGATGGTGGTTTAACGGTCTAAACGGTTGCTCAATAAATTCAATTACGTCACTTTTCACCTGTCCTACAAAGAATTGTGGTACAATGGCAGTAAAGAAGTTTCCAGATCACAAATACCTACACGAATCCGACAAAATTGTTGGTGTCACATTATATATTAAAACCGTACAGTAAAATACTTGACTTAGGGCTCGCTATATATGTTACAGTCAATGTCTAAATTCAGGCAATGTGTAAAATGCCTTTGTAACCCTAACCCCCACCCCAACCCTTACCCTAACCCTAAACCTAACCCGGCAATGTACACATTGACTGGTATATTTCAGGCATTTTACACATTGCCTGAATGTAGACATTGACTGTCACATATATAGCTTTATTGATCCGTCAATGATCAAGAGGTTTATAGAGCATTGGACATAATGATAGTAAACAAATAATTTAATAAATAAATTGACAAGATTACGTTTAGATCTAACAAATATTGCATGTAATCTTGATATACTTCAAGAAAGTATATAAAACTGACCGTGTTAAATTAGGCACATTTTGTAAATTTAGATAGTTGCTTTTTTATTACTTCCAATGGTGTTTGTGCACAAATTCTAATTTATATTATGCCTGCCCTTAAAGGCGCATTATATAAGATTTAGATAAAGGCTGATAATTCTCGCTACAATAATACTGTTGAACATATTTTAGTCTAATTACTTATCTAAATTGACTAATTGTTTTAAAGTGGATAAGTTAATCTTTACTCCGAAACTTAAGAGTTTTTTTTCGAACTAGCTGTCTTATATGTTTACCTTTTCTAAACACTTATCTCAAAATAGTTTAATATGCGTCCTAGTCACTGATTCGGTTGGTACCTATATTTGAGTTCAGTCTCAATAATATAAATATGTTAATTGTTAATTTATATCACCGTTTGTATTATATGTTTAATTCTTATCATACATGTTCAAATATGTTCTTATATGTTCAAATATTTCTAGTTTAATTATTATTAAGATAATAAGTTGACGATAGCGACTGGGAATAAATTATAAGAGACGAAATACGGACAATTATATTCATTCGTTAATAAACCGAGTTCAACGTCAAATAATTATTACTCATGTTTCTTATATGTCAGTTAGTTTATATTTATGTCGTGTCGCCTAATAATTCATATATGTTTATTTTAGTTTATGCATAATGTTATGATATGAAATAGTTTACTACACTTGTTCACATAATACGATAATACTTTATAGTCCAGGCATTTTAACTTAATTTCGCACCATTCAGGGCAGTTGCTGCCATAGAAATGCCGATCACGGTTTATGGTCGGTGTAGACGTATATTATCAACAAAAATCCGAAATCCGTGTCCAAATGAGTGAAAATAGGCAAAATCCAAACGGCCACCAGTTTTGGTTATAAAAATTCCAATTATTATTACTATTATTCAGTTATTGATTAATGTGTGTTACATTTTATGTAAAATATTATAATGTGAAATAGCTTATAATTACACTTGTTCACATAATATATGCTAATATTATATAATCAATTATTGAGTAATAGATTAATGTGTAATTTATGGGATTTTTTTTTGTGATTTCAATATCTTATGGTATTGTAATGTTCATTCGTTAATAAACCCAGTTTGACGTCAGATAATTATTACCTATATGTTTCTGACAGATTAAACGTCATTGAATAAAAAATATTGTGAGAGCGCTGTGCTTCGACTTACTATAACTACGCACCCCCAGCATAACAAATTCTAATATACTTCAGAGTAATAACCAAACAGCGAGGGGGGTTGGATGGCTGAATGGTTAGCGTGCGCGCGCTGTATCATAAAGTCTGTCATTGAGTCGACTGGCGTGGTTTCGAATCCCCGGTTGCACGTGACAAGGAGTAGGGTCGCCTGTCCAACCTCGTGGGTTTTCTCCGGGTCCTCCGGTTTCCTCCCACTGCTAAAGACCCCTACGCGCAAACGAATTATTGAAATAAAATTAAACCATATGTTAGTCCCGAAATGACCTAGTTTGTGTCGAGTGGACGTTAAACCCCATTTCTCTCTCTCTCACCAAACAGCGAACGCTCTCAACAGTTTAGTTTACTGTCCACGAAGACGGGACCGTTGGGAGAAAATTTTGAAAATTTAACTGCCGCAAACGCGTTTTCCTGCTATTCCAGCCCGTGAACAAAGCAACTTCAAAGTATTCTAATACAGCCTAATTAAGGTGACTGACTCGAATTCCAATCAACCAATCAATCGTTTACGATCCACGAAGACTATTTCAGGCCGTGAATACAGCAACTTCAATGTGGTCTCATATAGCCTACCTGGGTGACCTGAATCCCAAGCAATCATTCAAATTTTGAAAATTTAACTGCCGCAAATGCGTTTTTCTGGACTTCTAGCTCGTGAGTTAAGCAACTCCAAAGATGCCCATTGGTTTTGTAACCAAATCCCACTCTATGCCGACCTGAATTCCAACCATCTAATCGATGCCCGAAAAATGTCACACAAAGTAGAGTGGCTCCAGACAAAATGTTTAATCCATAGTCAATTCAGTACAAATTCGTGGTATTCAATTAAAAGAAAAGTAAAATTAGTGTTTTATTATTTCGGGCACACTTTATTTTGTCAAGTAGATGAAATAAAAAAAAATCACTTTACCCGTCTGCCAGATTGCCCGAAAGTTTGTGGGGCGGCTGTGCCCCCCCCCCCCGCCCCGACACCTGGTTCGTACGTCTATGGGGACCCCATAGTATATGGGGAAGACGCTGGCTCGCTATAGCTTGGAGGTCGCGTGTTCGATCCCTGCATTTGCCCTTGACAGTGGTGCAGGACGAAGAACAGGTGTCTAGTAGTTCGAATAGGACGAAAACCCAATGTCCCATGTACACATTGGCATACACGTAAAAGATCCCTTGTCATTTGGAATTCGATATAAGAGTATACCTCCAAACTAATTGCAGAGAGAGAGAGAGAAAGAGAGAGAGAGATCGATCGAAACCTCGCCAGCTGATTCAATGACAGACCTTATATTAAGATGCACGGCCTTTCGACCCCCTGAGACCCGGTTTGTAGCTTGCATTTTGGAAGGTAGACAAACGGTATCGTTGTATCTAAATTTCCAGCATAAGCTAGAAATAACATAATAAACGATTTTTGCATTTTAAAAAAAAAAATTCAATTTTATTACATATCCCTTTTAAAGATAATGATATTGGGTATCGAATATGAATTGTAACATTTTAAAGAACGACTCTATTTTTCAAAATTATCCCATCAATTTAGAACATGTGTGAACAGAGATCGCGTGTGCTCGACAAAATGGGAGACTACTCTAGACACTTTAAATATTCTCATGCCTGTTGGGTAAATCCCTAGTCTAATAGTGAGATCACACCCATGATAGAGGGGTGCAATGACGAGCTTTAGGGCATGATTTTGAGTATTTGCGCCCCTCGCAAATGGGAAAAAATCACGCGATTTCAAGATTATAATCATAATCATAAAGCCCAACTAGTGTCAAACATTTACCGTGGGTCAGATATGTTACACACATACATATTGTTTTTTTGGGGGGCCGCACATAATCTTGTTCCTCGTGCAAAATCATGGGTCATCACGCCCCTGGCATAGGTGACAAGCCTATAATTAGTCACCTGTATCACACTCTCAATTTTCTACATAACATCTGACATACTCTATTCAGAAGTTGCTACAATTACTACGCATAGCTTGAATCTTGCAATGTGTACATACCATATACATAGGCTACAACTAACATACCGTTAAAGACTGACCGAGGATCTGACAAGGACAGCTGTCTAGTCGTTCGGATGGTACGAAAAACCGAGGTCCTGTGTATACATTGGCGTGCACGTAAAAGATCCCTTGGCAGTTGGAATTCGATGTAATAGTGAATTATAGGATTAATAGGATTATTTTTTTTTATCGAGGTAGGACTGTTTATACATAGCATCGATTTTAAGGCTTTATTTTAATACATTTTAAGACTGTCGGCGATCGTTAAGTCAACATTTGGTCATCTGAACGCAAAGGTAGGGTATATAAACAAATTTAAGTAGCCCAGTTAGCCACCAATCTGAGAATCTAGTTAGCCCAGGGTATGCGCAATTGATTATACTTGAAGTAAATTTGAGGTTTCAAGTTGGATATAAGCATGATAATATACATGATCGTGGATGTCTGAATGATTAAGCTGCTTTCGTTTATAGTCCGTGTGAACGCTACATTAAGCTGGCTCAAAAAGGCTGGCTTGTTTAAATGGCATTGTATACAGCCGTCTGAACAGAATATTGTATAATATTGTACCAAAATAAACCAGATTGCACACACATATTTTCAGCAATGTTTTATTTTGCAAAATATAGATAGCACAATTAATCTAAATACATGCATGTGAAGACTATAGAGTTGATTATTGTCGATCTATTCTGTATTGTAACGAAGCTCTGTATAGAAGCTGTTCTGGTGCCTGTATTTCTACAACTACATTACTGTTTGGTCGTTGACACGTACACAATTCGTCACCTGCAAAATACAATATAATAAGAATAGTTATTCTGATGATGTATATTAGCATTTTGAATGAGTTCAATAAATAGCATATAAACAAGTTCAATATTACGGAAATGAAATGAAATGGGGTTTAACATCCTACGTGTAAGAGTTCTTTTATTTGCACGCAAATAAGTTGGATTATCGTCGAACCCGGACGACTAGGCGATTCTTGACCTGTCCACCCCTCCTGGAAAATCTTGATAAACTTTCTTGGCAAACATCAGAATTGAATCCAGGATCTCTTGTTAACGAGTCACCAGATATATGGAACTGGATTCAAAAGTGATTATATAAATTTCAACTGCATTGATAATTATGCTTCACCGTTGTGGGATTATAATAGAATGGGTTGGATCGTGTAACCTTACTCTCGACATACATCATACGATTATTAGACCACATGTTTTGATCTTGTTGTTGTCCTGTATGGTTTCATGAATTGTTGTTATAGTTTTTCTGTATATATTGATCTCATAATTCTTGTATTCTTGATAATGTTGAGATAATACTCTTCGAAACGTCGCCCAAATAAATTAAGTAGCTGTTTTCCATAAGTATGTGTTTTTGTCTATTGCTCTATCCAGTTACTAAATGCCTCTAAAAGATTATGTTTTGATAGATATGGCAATCTGTACAACCAATTACACTTTCTTTCTACCTTATAGTGCTACTGTAGCTCTGTAAGTAAGGCACTGGATAAAAGTAAGGCACTGGATAACCAGCGTTGTTTCCCCTTGTGGCTGGTGCAGAAAGGACGATCTGGCAAGGAAATCGTCTAGTCGATGGGAAGGGACAAAACAGTGCAGTACGATGTACATTGGCTTGCACGTAAAAGAATCCTTGACAGTTCATTAGCCCTGTTGGTCCAGAAAAGTAGGATGTTAAACCCTATTTCATTCATTCATTCTTTCTAGAGTATGACCACGTACGTCTTCAATAACGTGCATATAAGATTAATTCAAAATCACAATTACCATACGCGTGTGTCTTTCATGGTGGAGATATTTCACACATACATACATACATACATACATACATACATTTGTTGAAATTATAAGAGATTCTGAACACGTACGTCTTCAATAACGTCCATCATGTCAGATTATTTAAAATGTCAGTTACCATACGCGTGCCTTTCATGGTGGACACATTTCACACGCCCATACATTTGTTGAAATCATAAGAGATTCTGTGGTTTTACACCAAGTGAAATCGGATGCTAGTTTGTACGCTACAGTGTATTTTATTTCTCAGTAAATAGTGAGAGTAGCCTTGACATAGATGGTCCATATGAATAACACTGTGTGCTGAATAAAGAGCAAAATGCAGAACACATGTGTAACTAACTTGCACGTTATTGTGCCTCGGGGTCTAACCAAAGTTAGTTTGTATTCTCGAACCAACCGTGCGAATGTTTATATATTTTATATTTCTGTATTAGGTTCCTTACAAAAGGAACTAATTATAAGGAACGTAGTTTCGGGGGTGAAGGGAAGGGGCGTAAAGGTAGTGCAAGTGAAAATATTTAACTAACCAAATGATATATTTCAAATGATATATCTTGATGTAACCCCAATCTTTAACATATGCTTAACGTGTATAATTTTAATTATATCGGACCCGGTGGGTAAGACATTGACCCTCTAATCAGGAGATCTCGGGTTCACCCCAGGTTTTGGCCGAGGATGTTCTTCGGGATTTTCCGGCATGGTTCCCTCTTGTCGTGGTGCAGGATGGAGAGCCTGGCAAGGAACAGCGTTTAGTCGTTCGGTGGTACAAAAACTTTTGCCCCGATTACAAGTTAGCGTGTACGTAAAAGCACTCTAAACAGTTGACATTCGAAATAAGAGTAGGTCGTAGCGCCACTTTTCAGGCAAAATGTCCCTATTAACACATTCTCATTAGTCCGATTGGTGCAGCCCCCCCCCCCCCTACACACACACCCTTATCATTTCATTTCATTTCTGTAATTGGATGTATATCTTACGGGCCGTGGATGTATAGAGACGAGCGAGGTATTATTTGCTTATATTCACAGCATGTATTCTTTAATTACACCATTAAATATAAATATATTTTACCTTCCAGTGTTAGATCTGTAGGCGTGAAGCCCATGCTGATATCTCTTATACTGCCAAAACTGCTTGTTCTTTTCTTTAAACAAACTCGAAATCTGTCAGAACTTCCATCGTTAAGAAATGTTAATATGAATTTGCCTCTGGGGTAACTCCAGTGTATATGACCGGCATTGCATCCCACTATAGAGGTATCTTCCTCAACACCATCAGTAGCCCCATATATTCTAAATGACAAAAACAATAATATTGATATTGGTGTTGATTACCCTATGCTATACAAAGGTCAAAAACCAAAATACATGGGCTTACGATTACCGGACCGATTATATTTTATTACGCCAAATTCGCCTACCCTAATCTTTGTTCTTCAATTCCCAGGTCCTTCAAAATGGTCATCCCGTGGATTTCCGGAAATCGGTATCCAAGTTAACGTAAGTACATGTAATTTTTTTGTTGTTGTTTATTTTGCTTTTCCTAATATGACTCAATTTTATTACCATTGAACTGGACATGCACAGGACGTACTGTTTATTGTCGAGCCATGATTCGACAAGAATTCTCTAGTTTTGATCAAAAATTGCTTGATGAAGACATAAAGATCCATAGTGGAAATCCTGTATTTAAAATGTATGTGACTGTTAATTTCACGAAATGAGAGTTATATAGTGTTGGTTTCTCAAATAAATATATATATATAAAACAAAGCTATAGCCCAATAGCTCTATCACCCCGTAACCCTAGTACATTGTCAAGCCGGTAACAATCCCCTTCACACGTGACAAATCACGGAGCTATCACGGGTTAAGAATAATCCCACACGAAGCCGGATTTTACAAAGTGCCAAAAGTTTATAAAACACATAAAAAGCTCTGACCGAATTTCTATTAACAATAACGGCCTTGAGGATGCTAAAATGTTTTTACTATTTTTTTCAATTCAAAGCACATGTTTCATTAGCCATGTTTAATCTTGCAAACCAAACTTATATGGAATCTAACTCACTTATTTGCAAATGTAATGCACTTGATGTGATATGATTAAGATGTCAAAGGTTAACTTCTAACATGTAACTTGCTTTCCAAAATTTTATTCTTCAATTTCGGATCCCAGTAATCACCGACATGAACCGACAATATCGCATCGCCCAAAGTATTGCAAAACGTAATATGTTACAGATATACACATTCTATATATCTTACACAAAACTAAATGAATACATAAAAAAATGACAAAATTATAGATAAGTGAAATTAACAAAAAAAACCAAAAAAAACCCCCAAAAACAAACCCCACACTATTTTCGATTCTTGCCGTTGATTGTCAATTTCTACTGCTGTTATATTTACTGAAATATGCTTACCCGTTGCCGTAGATATTGCAAGACAAACGTGTGCGTCTTCTGCTCTCAGCACCCAGAAGAACTGCCGCGAACAATGCAACCATCAAAAGATTCATAATGCTGAAGATGTAGATTATACTACAGTAGTTCACTTACGTATCGACAAAAGAATGTTTACAGGAGTCCGAAAGCTAGTTGATATTTAAAGGGGGGATCTTATGACGTCAGATCAGATACAATCAGATCATAAAAATGTTGACTCGACCGTTTTCTATGTTTAGTTCGCAAATGTGGACACGTGAATGTCGTTGTGACACACTATTGTTAAATACGGGGATTGAAATCGCACCTCTAACCTTTGCTAGAAACCTCGGAATTGATATTCCGTTTTGGTTAATCACGGTTTCCGAGCATTATTTAGTGTTGTTGGGATTCTAAAGAGGACTAATCCAAATCTTTTATAACCGTATGTTAGTCATAATGAAGATAATATCTGGAAGGTAAAGATCATATCTTGATCAGCGGAGGTGTTCAGGTTGAAAAGGTAATGTCATTAGCTAAAGGTATGAGCTAAACAAAGGCTAGCTTGGGGCATGAGTAGGCGAGGGTGTTAGTAATAATTTAAAAATTTAAATATGTTTCTAGTATATTTTACTTGAAAGTGAAGAGAGAGAGAGAGAGAGAGAGAGAGAGAAGAGAGAGAGAGAGAGAGAGAGGGTATAGAAAATAAAGGGTTAAATCAATTATAAGCGCATCAACGTCGGTATATTTTAGTTTTTAGCTATTTATCCATTAGATCGGGAATGACCCAGTTTTTGTTGTATTTAGGGTTATGTTTACAATGTGAAGGAGGGGTCGATTGCCACACCTACTCTTCTCTAATTTTCAACGGTCACGAGTTAGTTTACGTGCACGACAATATGTACTCGTTGGAAGGACTTAGAGCACTTTCCTTGGCAACCCGAGAAACCAGCACAAATAGCATTGAAACTGACACCAATCATGAAACGTATATATGATGGTGTCATATTAATCTGAACTGACAGAACATAATGTGAAAACATTTTAGAAATTCGTAGTATATCTAATGGACACGTTCATGATTTATGGTAACATTTGGTAAACATGAAAAGAAGCGAGGTTGACACGCATGGGAAGTGGGGTTTGGGAGCTCGCAGACCAAACCAACCGCAAGAAACCGGGGAGAATTTTGTTTGTGCAGGTGTGCAGGACTCAAAGTGTCTACGGCCAATCTGTGATCTTCTACGGTGCCGAAGACGCGCAATTGACGTGTAAGTCTCACACATGGGTTTACTTAGGTTTCCCTCGTAGACTGCCCATAGTAGCCGGTACTGTGAGTTGTGAGCTAGGCTTTAACGTCTTACTTGTCTACTACAACCAGGTTAATGGAGACGGCTAATTAAGGCCGTCATACTGAGGGAATTGAGGGAAATTGTGTTCGGATATAGGTGCTACGGTCTAATCTTATTTTAATTTCTGTCAGGAGATCTTTAACATGCTGTCATAGGTATACAAAGTACATTAGTTTTTTCGCTCATCAAAAAAGAATAGACACTTTTCATTAACAGGCCCCTCGCCATAAACAAATGACAGGCTGGAAAATAGCTAACACCGGGATTAAATCATGTACACCCTGATTAGCGAGTCACGCCTAACTCACCGAGCCGCCTTGGCTCCCATATAATATTTGGTATACGAATATAAAACTGGTATATCTATCTAAAAACTTTACCATTTTCTTTACCATTTTAGTTATTCTATATAATACTTACCCCACACTGCCTAAAAGTTATTACTTTATATTATGGCATGATAAGTGTTATGGCTTTACTACTTATAGCAACTAATTTCCAGCATTTACAGGATCGCTCAAAAAAGAAAATCTCATTAAAAAATAAATTACGGCATATCTCTTCATGGTTGTATATTTATTTTAAAATACTTTAAATATTTCTCATTTTTTCAGTTTATTTTGATATATTTTCTGGCAATGAGAGGTTTTTTTGCTGTATTTCAGCATGCCAGCCCTGTCGGAGCTGAGATGTACATTTATTTTGAATGTTAGAGACATTCCACATTTAGGTATACTGCATGTTCTGGCTTTTTATCGCCTACAAGATTCTTTGTGCTTTTTCAAGCCCGGTTCTCACTATCAGGGTGTGGCGTCTGTGGTACTGACAAGAAATCGTGTCTAGTCATTTGGATGGGACGATAAATCAAGGTTCCAGTAAAATAACGAAGCGTGGTTAAAAAACGGTGCTGTTCTGGCAAAAGTCTACTCCACCCCAACCCATGCATGGCACACGTAACTATCGAAATGAAACAAAATTCGTTTTTTGTTCAACACTGAGCCCAAATCGATGTCGAGCCTCAAAGTAAAATAAGTACTAAGGACCAGAAATAATAACAGTACTATCCTTACTCCATGCATTTTGTTTTGAAATATTATCGCTTTCAAAACACTACTTACATCAGCCAAGTTTGAAAATATAGATTTAAGCTCAATCTTAAACATGAAACGCAAAAGGAATAATACCTCGAATATCCAGACACTGATCTTACCCATATTGAAACATCGCTCGGGAAAATGGACTTCGATCGAAATATGGATCATATCAACTACCGTTATTATTATCACGTGTTATAACTTGTATAGCTCATAGTCTGTTTTTTTTTTTTTTTTTAAATATTTTTATATTCCAAACCCAGCTGTAATATTCGGCAATATACCGTTAAACCTTATGTATACAGGATGGTTATTTTTTAAACAAAAAAAAAATTTTCGCTTTAAAGATACAGGGGGATCACGTGACTAAGTGGGTCGCTAGCCTGGAGGTCGGGTGTTCGATACCTCCAATGGCCTAGAAAGTTCATCCAGATTGTCCGGCGTAGTTTCCCCTTGTCTGTGATGCAGGACGGAGGGCCTGACAAGGACAGCTGTCTAGTCGTTCGGATGGGACGAAAAACCGAGGTCCCGTGCACATATTGACGTGCACGTAAAGATCCCTTGGCAGTTGGATTCGATATAAGAGTAGCCCGTAGCGCCGCTGCCCGCACAAAATTTCCCTCATAGCACACTGTATGGCGTATGCCCGCCTTCATTAGCCCAGTTTAGAGCAGAACAGTAGGACGTTAAACCCCATTTCATTTCATTTCATTTTAACATTTGTTAAGGCCTCAAGAGATAGTTAAAGCAAAGTAACTTCAATACCGGCGCTAAAGGGTGTGAATGGGGGCCGAGTGGTCTAAACGCGTCCGCTTTAGATCACGAGAACTGTCATTAAGTCAAGTGGTGTGGTTTCGACCACACGTGTACCTGAAAAGGTGTGGGTTCGCCTGCCTAATCCAATGGTACCATATGTTAGTCCCGAAATGACTTAGCTTGTGTTGAGTCGACACAAATCAGGGTCATTTCGGGACTAACATCTATAGTTCAATTTCATCTCAATAATTCGTTTGCGATTAGGGATCTGTAGCAGTGGGAAAACAGGAGGACACGGGAAAACCCACGAGGTTCGACAGGCAACCCGACTCCTTGTCACATACAAGCCTGGGAAAGAAGCCTAGCCACTTGACACAATAGCAGAACTTATGACCTAAAGCGCACGCGTTAGACCACTCGACAACCAACTATTACCCCACAATGTAACGTAAAGACTCTCTCAGATAGTGGTATTTCTGCATACTCTTTTCAAATTTAAATTGAAAATAACCTCGCTCTTTACTTACATTATCAATATGTATATGGCGTCTGATTTTTTGTCGTAAACGAAGGACTATACTCAACTCTCTTAAAAGTGATTTAGCCGAGTTTTAGCTAATTCTGGAACGCTCGACTCGGTCCAGGTTGGATTCGATCCCCATGATATTAATCTGTATTGATCTCAACATTAAGATTATGGTTTTATAGTCCAATCAGATAACTATATATATATTTATGCTGAATAATATATTTTATTATCCTCATAATAAAAGCCCACAGCAACATACCTTAATTTATTTCAGAAATTACGTCAATAATTCATATCTAAACCAAAGCGATCTTTAAATATAAAAACCAATGTAAACGCCCAAACATACTTGCCATTCCAAACACCTCCTTGGACTAAGGTAAAATATCGATATAATATTTTCAAAACAAAATGGAACTGGGTATACACAGATAGTATGGCTTATATATTCGTTATCAACCAGTTCACACGGGTATCAAAGCCCGGTTATGTATACGAAACATGCTACATGTTTGAATGCTACTACAAAGACCTATCAATGTCGTTAAAAACATATCTCCACGAAACATATGGTTTCAATATCGACATAAAATGATCCTTGAGCATTAGACAAGATAAGCGGCAGATTAGGGTACACGTTTAAATGGTGATATAGCAAAATCCTATGACATATTTCTTTAAGGGTGCTCTAAAATATTTACAATAATCTTCAATATTCCAAACGGTAAATTTGTCTTTAATGATGAGTTAATTGATGAGAACACACCTGTTACTCTTTTCAAACTTATTCCCTGAAACTGTAATCTAAGAAAAAAAATAAACCTTGAGTTAGCTTTCACATCTACAGATATTGACTTTGTCTACGCTAACCACAACCCGGCTTGTTATTTGACTCAATAAATACAATAACTTGCGGTTATCCTCAGAAGTTTTCATAGATTTGGACATGTCTGTTCTTAGTTTCGTATTTTGCTTTCTAAGTTCAATCAGTTCCAACTCCATATGGTCTAATATTCTCTTCATGTCCTTAATTGAACCAAAACACGATTCCTCGAACCATTCCATTGGAATAACAGATGGTTGTGCTCTAGTGGATGCCAATAAGTACATCAGCAGAAAAAAGTGTAAACAAAGCATGCTGTTAGAGCTAGATGATATCATTAATGAAAAACAAATTTTAAAAAGCTGTAGAGAATTTATCCACAGGTTCTTTTTTATAACAAACCCGGGTTGTTTTTGCTGTATTATCAGTTTATGCCTTTTCTAATGTAAAACTTTCCAGCTCACCCGGCACACGTGGAGTAGACGATTACAATTAGGTCTTCCCTGGTATAATTTATACTCTATTAATGTAAAGTGTGTAGAATTTTACCATATATCACTTTGATAATGGTACTACCAGTCGGGGAGTCTTAAACCTATTACATTCACGCGTATTAAATCAAATCTCTCAAACAGTCAAGCAGTGACCGTAGAGCACCAAGGTAGTGATTTTAGTGCACGGGAACTATCGTGTGCCTTCAGTGGTCTGATTCAGCGTAGAGTGTGTAAAATTCTACCATATATCACTTATTATCTGACATAAACGATTAGGCCTTCGACGGTATAATTTTAATAAATTGTGTAGAATGTTATCATATAGTACTCTGATAATGGCGGTTTCCGTTAGGAAGTCTGAAATTATTACAACCAGAATTCACCCAACTTAAAGCCAGATCATACAATTAGCTATTTAATCAGTCTTCAGCGCACACAAACGATTCCTTTAGGGCACATAAAGTTTACAACTGTATAATTCACTCGTTTCTTATTAAACTAAGCACGATTGAATCGTAGTGTCTTACGCGTACGCATTCGCCACATACTTATCCGTACTAAAACTAGGCTATACAAGTCGCATCAATAATTCACTCCGGTCCGATGAAGAACAATTTGAATCCTTTCAAAAATATGTTTCCGATATTTCCGACAAAGGTAAATTATCCCTAAAAGTTTAGGTGTTCGAAATATTTTCTCCGAAGAAGTTTATTTCCCTTTTGCACACTTTCCTTTCCAGTGCCCGTGTTGTCCAATTACTATATACGTGACAGCTAGCGCGAAGTCTATTACTGTCTCCAATTCAATGAAACCCTGGGCTGTATCCACCCGTCTACAATTAATTTGTCTGAAGATCCGTACTAATAACTCATATGAACCAATAAGTCAAATCTTAGATCATATCCTCTAAAACTGTTTGTGTACACAACTCGTTGAGTCTTCTTATGGGTAGCTACGCAGTTGCTAACACACGGATAACTTGAAATAATTTATGTACAGTTGAAGCGAATCTTATCAATGGCTGATACCAACGGCAACAGATGGGATGTGTTGAAAAAAGCTAAACTATAAGAACAGTTCCGTCTACCCCCAAAACAACTGTTGAACACATTCGAAACTTGAACGTTTAAAAAAACAAAATGTGATCCCCGAAATAATATCCATGAATAATGAGAAAGGGGACCACTCTTTAAGCTTGTTGCCCAAAACCGATGATGGATGAGGATGTCGACCAATGCTCAAAAACGTGAGAAAGTGTGTCTTCACTTTTGTCCCAAACACAGTTCTAGTACTCAAATGATAATGTGTTGTACCAATCCACCGTTACCCACCTTTTCTTAGTAAACACAGATTGAATTTAAAACCAATATAAAAAGCGGACCGAGAGCAACGCCGCCCCTTTTGCAAATGTTTAACACATTCTGAAGTGGAAAGATTATATAAAGTCAGCCGTCGTTCTTTAAATAATTATTAACACACAATAACAGCAGGCTAAATAAAATTGATGATGTTTGAATTTGTCGAGATTCCTTTGTAGTAGAAATAGCAATGGGACGAAAGAAAGCTAGATTTAATAATAGAAACACATAACACAGCTTGCCATATATCCGATATCAATCGTAGCCAATGGGAATAAAAAGTAAGTCTGAATCTTGCCAGCCACACATCTGTCTCACCGCAAGCAGGTACGAGCACATCCGAAATTTGAAACTCCTGGATATAAACTTTGGCCTACAAATATTAAATTGTACCGTATAACATGACTGTTTACCATATGTCTAAATTTGATGACACTGAGTAAAAAAACACAATTTTCTGACACGAATATCAGTGATGAACCAAAATAGCATGAAAACCTGGCTCACAACCTGTAGTAGACGAGAAAGATTTATCCGTACATCAAACTGATTAGCCACAGTCGACAAATTGAATGAGCAGAAACGTGAAATGGATGATATACGCTGACAGATAGAGAGCTAAACTTCATATTAGATATATTTACAAACACTAGCCCTGTAATCTAGAATGGCTCCTCCTTTCGAAATATATCTGGCATGCATGTGCGTAATTGAAAAGTGAAACTGGATATTGGAAAGTATACACTTTTAGATAAAGAGCCAAATGTAAACAAATCTAATATCATTAATGGCATCGGATGTAAAGAGTTAAAAGAAATATATACATCCTAATTAAAGTTAGATATATCTAGAACGTTAAAGCAACCGTTGTATCCTTTCATCAAATTTTATTGATCACAAATGTAGTAGCTGTGTTACCTGATGTTACAGGGGCGGTGTTTATCTCCATTTTTGTGAAACAGAAACAAAGAGGGATAAAAAAAAAATGGGATTTAAAGTTCCACTTTTCTGCACCAACATGGCCAATCAAGACTACCTTTCAGCGCATGGGTGTAATTCTATGAAACAGTCGACTTTTCAGCCTATTCTGAATCCAATCCAATGGTTTAGGTTTCTTTTACATGTACCTTAACACTTGAACGGGGTATGGTTTTTCGTGTCACGCGATCGGAACAAAACACTGTTCCTTGAAAATCACGAGAAACATTCGAATTTGGGCCCCAAAGTTCCATTTCAATAATTCACTGGATTGAAGCGTCGTTCGCATTGTGATACAAATCCTGAATCGAAACTACGCCACGACACTCATTCACCAGAAAAAAAAATACGCTAAATGATTTCTTTCAAAAATTCAAAAATTAAAGTGAGCAGACAACAAAATTGTTACCGAGAAATGTTAGGTTAATATTACTTACGGTGAACACATAATGATTTACAGATAATTAGGAATTCCAATTATTTGTGATTTATAGACCATTGTTTTATGTAGAACGGTTTCAAGTGGCTCGTTAGGGTTATCAGGATACTGCTTTCTTGTAAAATTTACTACGGCAACCTGCCAGCGACATGATGCAGTCGCTAACCCTAGATTGGGGCACCGTTTGGGGGATTTTATTGGCAATTTAAAACGAATGTTTGTAGGGGTTTTTTCTTGTGATATTTCAATTATTGACTTCTACTTTTAAAAATCTTAAATTTGAAATAATTTTCAGTTTAACAAATTGGGTATAATGAATATTACCATCAAATTCAATGTTCGTTGTGGCAGAAACAAAATGGAACAGATTTTTGCCAAATGTTCAACATTATTGAAATAAAATTTAACCATGTGTTAGTCCATAAATGATATAGTTTGTGTGGAGTGGACGTTAAACCCCGTCTCTCTCATATGTCTAGTACAATAAAAGTTATTTATGAAATTATTACTCTAATTTTGATTCAATTTGTATATGCGTATGTGGACGTATATAGCTCAGCGTGTGACAATTTATTAATTTAACATCTGACATAACTTAATTGAAACTCATGAGTCATAAGAAAGATTGTATGTGTTTTTGTCAGTCCATGCATGCTGATGCTGAACAAACTATTAAGTGCATATGTGTAGTGCTATCGGACTTCTTTTCTTGTGGTGTTTGTTTCTTCGTGATCGTAATAAGACTACAGAATAAATGGTTCTTACAACTTTATTGCTAAGCTGTAATAGCTTTGAAGATTCCTCGTTCTCAATAATAATGGCTGCTTGGAATATCTGGATGAGCTCCGTTCAATCCAGCCCTACATCCTTTTTAATAACCCCCTAATTTATGCACGTCTTAGACAGCCTTGGCGTTAATTTCCATCCCAAATATGGAATAAACCTCTTTATTTCACAAGACTAAAGGAGGAGACATTACCTTATTTGGTCTACCAACCATAGGGCAATTATCAGACAGAATTTGACGGATATTTTGACAATGGTTATGATTTTACAAAAATATCACTGGTTTTTTTTTATGTATAACTATATATTCACGTTCATTAAGTACGTGTGATTTGACTCTATACCTGACTGACTGTACCGAAGGATAATAATTATAACTTAGCGGCTGGTCTGCGAGCGTCAAAACCCTACGACCCGTGCGTGTCAAAATATGTACGGCGGGTTGTAAGCTAGGCTTCAGCACTTTACCTGACTGACTGTACCGGATGATAATAATTATAACTTAGCAGTTATAGGTTTCCATTGTTCGGTTCCATATTTATTTCCGTATTTCCTCTAACTTGTATCAATTATACTTATAGACTTAAGGAAAAACATTAGACATAAATACTAAGAGTAAAATGCTCTAACATTTCATTTACTCCAAATACAACCAATAAAAGATCCCTTGACAGTTGGAATTCGATATAAGAGTAGGCCATAGTGCCGCTGTCGGGGCAAAATTTCCCTCATAGCACACTGTATGGCGTATGCCCGTCATTAGCCCAGTTCGGAGCAGAACAGTAGGACGTTAAACCCCATTTCATTTCATTCCATTTTGAATTCTGCCATGGGTTCTTGTACTTGAAACGCCTTTATGGATGTGCGGTTTTCCCCATCTCAACCATCTTTATGGATGTGCTGTTTTCCCCATCTCAAAGACCCAAATCACTGTTCCCGAAAGCCACCACATGAGTTTCCCTATATCTCTGTTTATTATCAAGATTTATGAATTAAACATGTGTATTTGATAAAACAAGTATAGGTCATACGGACTTTTTAATGAATTACGTAAATAAATTGGCTCGTTTCCATGCAACAACAAGGCTTAAGATCAAAGGTCTACAATATTCCTCTTTAAAAAAACCCTATCAAATCCACAGCGCAGAGTTTTATTTTGTACAAATAAGATATGAAAACTAAACCAGCCGTGAACTCTGACCTTTTTACTATAAATAAAGCAGACGGCTTTATCGTTTAGCAGGCGTGTGGTTCGGGGTGTAATCCGGCCTGGCTAGAGACTCACTCGATCAATAAATTCTACATTCACGAATAGAGAACTGACCGCATCTGCGTCCAGTCAAAGATAAAAGGACGGACAACGACAGATAAGAGTCAACATAATATTTTAAACCACACTTTTGCTGGCCTATTTTAATATGTACGGTGAGTAATACATAGCTTACGTTCGTTGTTGTTGTTTTGACATATATTTTACATACACTGGTTTAATTCTATAAATAGCTCATCACAGGGTTATGAAAATACAGTTACGTCGTAATGAATGTCAAACAAACGATATGGGATCATTCTAGACAAAATAAAACAGTCGATATTTTATCAATGTTAATTTCAGATTAACATAGGTTTAGCTTCTATGATGACTGCTGTAACACGAAGGGGGCCAAAAGAATTTTGCCTGGACAGTGGCGTACGTTTCGATCAATCTACTCGTGTTCGAATCCGTCTAGAATAAACCCCAATTAAAAATGTCAGAAATAACTATCATGCATATTTTACTGATATTAGTAGGCTATACGAGAATATTGTAGCGTATTAAATAGGACTTATAATTATATTTTATCTACGCCCTCCCACGCTAGTTATGTATGCGCTAACACAAGCGTAATATATCATACCAAGATAAATATATATTTACATCGTGTTTGTTTACTAGTTGGTGTATTAAGCGGCTTGTTTTCATATCACATGATTAAATTATATGAAGGTATGGATAAAATGACGTCTTGTTGAAATTAGGTTGTGTACTTTTTCTAATTTATGATCTTTTGGACCTCATTCATTCATTCATTCATTCATTACTAATCTAGTCATTTTTTTTACAGAACTGATCCATTAAAAAAAAGTAATTTCGGTATTAACCCGTCCATAGTCTTTGGAAAGGTGACTATATTACTCATTGTCTCGTTCAAATGTGATAGAAGACCCCGAGAAAACCAACGCGGTCAGACAGGCAACCATACCCGTACATGTCTGGGGTCAAAAGCACACCATGTTAATCAATGAAAGACAATATGGGGTAGAACGGGTGGGGTGGGGGACAAGGAACAGTGTCAAGTCGTGGTCGTATGTTGGCGTGCAGTTAAAATAGCCCTTGACAGTAGGCATCCATTGAAGCGAAAAGCCACTGTCGGGGCAAAATGACCAAACCTCCAATAGCACACTGTATGCCGTATACCTGTCTTAATTAGCCAGGTTGGTGCAGAAAGTAGGACGCCACGCCCATCAACCTCTATACCCCGACCCAGTGAGCTAAGATATTGCAATTGTTTAGATGATATAATTTTAATTGTGTGCCTTTACAAAAGATTTACAATATTGCGTATATTATTATGATACAATTTATGATGTGGTTCGTTATCATGCAGATTGTGAAATAGAAATACAATGCGCACGCTATAGTGGATATGGGTTATCTGATAACAATTCAATGTAATAAATCCTCTATTTGTACATAATATACTATATTGTTTAATATATATCATTTAGGTAGAAATTATGGAAACCAATAAACCAGAACTAGTATTACCATCGGTGTACAGAATGGATATAACGAAAGACGAATTGGCCAATTCGCCAATAATCAGAATGGGACAGTTACACGGGGAGTCTATAGCGTTTGTGACAAAAGCTTTACGGCATGTGGCCGACGAACTTCACGGACGTTATGTACGGTCTGCTTACAAGGAATTATTTCATGTACTGGTGAATTCAGTATTAAAAGGAGCAAGCTAAGAGATCCTCCTCTTTTATTGAACGTCTTCAGGAACGTTGTTCTCGTATTTTCGAATACTGACCAAAGTAAAACATTAGGTATTTTGATATGTGACTCGAGTTATAGCTAACCCATCGTGATCAAAGGCACACGCCAAATACTATCATTCACTAAACAGATTCAATCAGAGCTATTTTCCTGTAATTGTGAATCAGCATAATTTATACATAGTTGGTTAAAATCAATATGGCGTATTCCTCTGCAACCCAAATTTCCTTATCGGTCTATATTTTAGCATGTTTATAAATGGCTGATATTGCGCTATGGTATATATAATGTTAATTATGTGAACTTTATTAAGAAACGATATCTGGTGTTCTAGAAAGAGTACGCATTATTTGCCTACCTGGCAGATACCTTGTAGTTTGTCTCTTGGATTCTTATCGTTTTTGTATGTGTGTAGTGCGGTATTCCTACACCTAATTTCATAGTTTATTGGTATTCTGTTGCATTCTGGACGAGAAATTATTTAGGATAAATATGAATTACTGGTTAATATTTTGATGATATAATATAAAACATCCCACAGCTGGAGAAATTTGCATTCATAAAGCTTTAAAATAACCATTGGCAAGATGCCAAACAAAATTAAAACAAGATTATGAATAGTTATTACGTTATATTTATCTAAATTAGGCTGTGCTGAATATACAATATATTTCTGATGTTGTTTGTGCACCATCACATCATCAGTTTGCCATTTTCATAAACCTGAATAACGAGGCAACTTGTCCCCCCCGCCCCCCCCCCCCAAACAAAATGTTACCCATTCTGATTGTACGCTACATTTTTAAATGTGTATACTTTAAAAATAATTTTCATGAAGATTTCATGGATACTAATAGTCTCTGTTTCTGCTCAATCCATGCATCCATTCTCAGAATGGGTAACATCTAGATCTAACACAAATTCTTAAACAGGTTGTTATATTATATGAACCAGGTTGTTATTTGAACCAGGTTGTTATTTGAAATCGGCTGTAATATGTTTAAAACCGGTTGTCTCATTTAAAAAAGGATATTGTAATTTAAACAGGTTGTTATGGATAAACCGGAAGAGTTTGCCCTATTCCAAACAGTTTGTTATTTTCCAAAGAGGTTGTTATTTTCAAACAGGTTGTTATCTTCGAAACAGGTTGTTAATTTTATACCAGGATGGCATATTCAAAACGGGTGGCTATATTTAAATCATATTGTTATATTGAAAAATGTTATTATAATTTAAACGGATTGGAATATATAAAACTAGTGGTCATATTTAAGATTGGTGGTCATATATTCTTAATTGGCAGTTCTGGGAATTCGCTAGGTTATGATTTTATATTATGGTGGGTGTCCCTTGTATGGCAGGATATGCTTACTCATCCATGAACTTCAGTATCGACTACTAATGTCTTTAATGTCCCATTTAAGAAATTCACTGAAAATTTTTCGATTTTGTCTTTCGTTTGATTGTCCTTTACGATTTATTATGTACATTATCAGTATATATATTTATAATACGTAGTTATATCGGGGTTTAATATTAAAAACAATATATATGTGAACATATTTGTCATTATTAAAACTAATATGAGTAGGTTTTTCTTATGTTAGCGCCATTTAGTGAAATGTAAATGTTTATGACAATTTAAAGCAAACTGGCATCTAAACTCTCGAACCACTGTCAAGCTGATAATATTTACATTATATTTCCGGTGCCTTTTCGTAAATTAATCATATGCTTTTAGTAGAATAACAGTTTTCATTTATTTATAATATAGAACATTATATTGTATAGCATAATGTATTTAATGGCTTGAAATAAACAAGTTAATATTTAATTCGGTCTTTTTTGGAAAAGCGAGAGAGAGAGAGAGAGAGAGAGAGAGAGAGAGAGAGAGAGAGAGAGAGAGAGGGGGAAGGTAACGCCCACTCGACAAAAACTTGGTTATTTCGGAACTAACCTATGGTTCAATTTTATATCAATAATTCGCTTGCGCGTAGGGGTCTTTAGCAGTGGGGAGAAACCGGAGGACCCGGAGAAAACCCACGATCTTAGACAGGCGACCCTACTCCTTGTCACGTAGAAGCGGGTAATCGAAACCACGTCACCTTACTCAATGGCATACCTTCTGGTCCATTCGGCCACCCAACCCCCTTTTGGAAAAGGAATTGGTCCTCAAGCGCTACTCATGTTGTTGTTCATGTTGTTGGTGGCGACGCTTTTCGAAAAAAGCCCGACGGTCCCACAATTGAAGTACGATCGACATGCAACTTGGCATAATTGTTCTTTGTACAATTGCGCATCCATTGACCGATTTCGATTGGTTTTTTTTCATATTACTTCACAATTCCAAGATGGCAGTGATGACGCCATACTAAGTTCCTGGTCCATAGTATACTCAATCTAAATACAGATTAAAATACAGATCTGTATTTCGTTTCGTATTTTTATGCTTTCGATGGCCTACACTACACGAAGATCCGACAAATTATAGTGGGAGTTCGCGCCAGGGGGTCAAACGAGCGGCTTTTGACACTAGTGCGTCAGACATTGATAAATCAATCAGCGTTGACGTTTCTAGTGGTTTACCCACAGTTCCGTGCACCAAAAGGCCAAGAACTTGCTATAACAGTCCGTTTCATTGGCAAACCCCGCACATCATCCAGAACACGACAAATGTTAACAACTCTTTTAGATCCTAGTGTAGTAAAGACAAGTTAAACGAAATTTTGAACTATAAAAGCGAAACGAAATAGGATCTGTGTTTTAATCAGATTGTAGTATACTCGTACTTGTTATACCTAAACATGACGGGTATAAACTAGATTTAGAGTCCTACGCCAATTACTCTGATAAATATTCAAGAAGCTATAATACGACGACTTTATTCATTATCGTCTCTTTTGGTAATTGTTTATTGCGTCCAACACGGCGCACTACATCAGTTTTTAGAAGGATCAGGTGTCACATTTCTTATCTTCTCACATCTGTAAGTACTGCAACATATGTAATTTTATTCTGATCAGTATACCCCAATTAGTACAATCTGGACTGGATACGCGTAGGGGATTCTTATTTAAAGATGCATTCTGTAAGATTTAGATATAGAGCTGACCGTTCTTGTTATACTAGTTCAAATATATTTTTCATTCAAATTACTTTATTCTGAGCGAAGATATGCCTGTTTAAAGATGTAACGTAGACTGTTTATTATCGTTGCAACGGTGCTTGACCACCGAGGCTAAGTCTCAATTATCCATTTAAATCTCAGCCATCTGATTATGGGCTTGTCATGTTAATAAATGTCTAAATAATAATTTATGTAATATTCTAAGCCAAAATAAAAACATGCAATAGGGAGATGTAACTCATACATAACGCATCTTAAGTGCTTTGCTGGAATGCAGTTCCTCCTCGCAACGACTGTAGTGGTTGTTTTTTTTTACACTGTACCAAACTTCGCTTGATTCAGCTCGGTCAATTGGTTTCTTATCAGACCAGATAATATATCAGATATACAGAGGATCTGTTTATAACTAACAGGTACTAACTAATAAATCTAATTAATGAGAATATTGAGTCGATGGCAAGGGATCGAGTTTCCGTCATGAGATGCCTTTATAATTAGTATTCTCATGTCTCAAGTGGAATCCAGTGGTGTTCCCAGAATCGGGTAGAGAGCAATACTCGATACATTCTTAATTTATTAACATTCCCCCACCAAGAATCAACACATAGAATACCACACGTTGCTATAAATATATTTAATAATCTTATTAATCTTATAACACACATATAAGTAGCACTAATATGACTCAAAGCACTTTAAAAACCTGTAACATCCAATTTGAATATTAAAAAAATCTAAATGATGATCTGCTCTCAGCTTATTATGATTATTAAATGATGAGGAACTAAACACAGAATTATGAGGCAAACGATTTCAGTTCCAGTAGAACATCGTTAGACCTTTATTCCATTAAACATGATGATATCAATAAGAAAAATAAATAGAGGGTGCATTGTTCACTTATTAAGAGTTGGATATTTATGAATATATTGATGACTATAATTAAAAATAAATTTGAAAAGAGACAATATGTCAGAAGGGCACAATTAACGTTTTTATTATTTAAATCAAAGACAAATAAGATCTCAATAGTCTTAAATAATTGGAGGGTCTATCACACAAGTGATCTAATTACCTACGGTATAAGTTGGTAGATAGATCACTAAGTATTCTAGACGCGTCAATGGTAAACTCACAAGATATATCAAAACAATAGTTCATATAAAACTTTCGCCAAAATCTCAGAGGATACACAAGGAATTTATACTCCGTCTATGGCACCAGCGAGGGATAAAGACGGCGTTGTGAACTCAGTAAAAGCTAATATAAACTTCCGCATGCCATAATATATATTAGAACTGTTTCTTTTGGATAATTTTGTAACCAATATGTTTCTTGGTTATGTATATATTTGCCCTTTTTCTGACTTGTTGTCTCTTTAAAGTGATCGTAATGAATTAATAGTAATAAGCTGAGATTATCATGGTTTATTGTTTATATAAGCAATTTCTTATGCATTGCAAAACCTGTTGACCCGCAACAAAATTAGTGTAAGTAAATATGATAATAGCGTAATAAATAAATTGGGCAATATATAAATATTTTTAAACACTTGGTAGAAATTTAAAAACAGACATTATATACCCACTAAAATACATGATCTGAATTATTGATAATCTTACAGTACAACAACAATACAACTATATTCCGACCACGGCTAATGTTGCGAAATGCGTATCGAAATTATTACGACTCCCAATAAACATTTCACGCATTCAATTCTTACTCATATTAATTTACATTATATACAAATGTATGATGTGGGATATCTATTGAAGATCATTGTTAGCACCATGTTAGTTCTAAAACCAGCGTCTGTCCTGCACAATTACAACACACCAACATTCCCTACGTTGTATTTCAAATCAACTGCTTTATTTCGTTGTTTGCGTAATGATTTTTGCGCATTTTCTACGCTTATTAATCTAGTTAATTATGGCTACTCATTGGGGTATTTTTACTTGGGATAGTATAACGGCATATCAGCGTAAGTATTACTTGATCGCCACGTGCTGTGAGGATGTAAATAACGTGGTGCTGAAACATTAACAAAAGGCCTAGGTATTGTCAGTTTATCACTGCTTGCTGTTGAGCACACATCTGATATTGAAGATCTGCGACGTCCTCTAGATCTGTGAAAAAGGAATAAGATCATGGATTAGGACCAATAGTTAGCGACTATTTGTAGACGTTCTGTCTCTATTTAAAAATTCTGTATCTCAAAATTTCTATGTTCAACCTCCTACAAGCTTTAAATTCCACATTTTCCAGTGTCTGTGGTGGCGAGCGTTCCACCCACCTAAATTTTGGGGGAAGGGTGGAGCAGGACAAATGGACACGAATTAAAGTTAAAGTCAAAGGGAGATAACTTGGTGGTCTGAATCCTTTATTTTGGCATATAAGAGTTATTTCCCTTTCATTTTATTCAGTGACAAGCTCGATTGCGGCGATAATGCACCGAAGCGTTAAAATAAATAAATTACGAGTCTGTTCCTGCTATTTGTGAAATAAAGGCAATTTGGATGGGGGGAAAAAAATATGTATAATTTTAATCGTCCAGATACATATATTTGGGGAGAAAAATCTATATTTAGATAATATTCTTACCCATAATATCTACAGCATAAACACATAAAGACAGTTAAAATTAGAACAAACATCAAAGCTGACAAAGATCCCACAATAATCAATGCGTCTGAAAAATATTAATACATGTCTTATTAAAGCAAAGATTAACGTCCAGTCGTTCGGACTGGACGAAACTCCGAGGTCCATTGGGGTGCATGCAAAAGAATCCTTGACGTTTGGAATTCATTTGCTGCTATAGCACACTGTATAACGTATGCCGAAAAGTAGAACGTAAAATTTCATTCAAACATTCATTTGTAGTAGTGGGAGCAATGGTGGATCAGTAATCAAGCGGTTCCGACCTCTCACTCGCCGGGGTTGCGAGAAATTTCTCGGGATTTTCCGACTTAGTATTTGCTTGTGTATAACGCAGTTCATGACAAGAAACAACGTCTAGTCGCTCGGATTGGACTAAAAACGACACCCCGATGGGAAGAGACATCGAGGTTCCATATTGAAAGTTGGAATTCGAAAAAGAGTGGTATATCCTGTGTCTTAAATCGTCCACAGGAACTTGATTCTAAAAAATGTTCAGGACGGACTTCTATTGTACTTGACAAACTAACCTGGTTTGTCGGATACAGATCGTGTTGGAATGATAACGGTTCTCGTAGTTGGGTTGGATGTAATACTGGTGCTCCCAGGTACCAGTGATGTTGCTGGATTGACATCTAAAAAGAAACAAATTTAATAGTATCTGATATTAATCTGGAAGTCACCGAATCAATGGCAAATTACCAGTGATCTAAATCCATTTGGATTGTTAGAAAAGGTAGCAGTTGTTATTCGAGAAAATTATACTTGTACATACCTGTAGTTGATGAAGCTGTGCTTTCTGGGTTAACTCCCAGTGTAGATGTCGCCGAAATCTCTGACACAATAACTGATGATGCTTCACTCGATACAGAATCTGATTCCGAATTCTGAAACACAAGCATCATGATTTACATTGCTAGTATTAAAGATTACCAAGATCATATCCGATAGCTAGAAGTGTAAGGATGTTTTTGGAAAAGTATATCTGGTTATATCCTTTATATGGACTGGGAGTGTCATTGTTTCTATTTATTTTTAATAAA